GAAACATAAGTCCCCTTTCTATGATGAGTGCTTAAGGAGCAGGAGGCTGTGTTGCACACTAGCTCGACATACATTTGTGCACTACTGGACATGTAGTGAGTGTCTTGCATTTTACTCATGATGAACCCGAACTCAGAATTATTAAGTGACATCTATGAGGTTACATAGATGATGTGGAACTGAGTCAAGGTTATGGCCTGTCTGTCTGACCCCAGGGCCCAGGGTGTTCATCTGTGCTACACTCTCTCTGGAATTAGGTTTTCTGTACAAAGAGAAATGTCTTTTTTCTGACTAATCTATTGGGTTGCCAAAAGTCATCTGAATCTATGTGTCAACTATTGACATGTAACAGATAATAGATGATTTTATGGATATAAATAATGTTATTTAAATGAAGAATTTGGGAACTCCTCTTAAGATCAAATGGTGATGAATAATTTGGTATTTTAAATAACCAATCTTAATGTATAACCATAGTCATAGTTGCTTTTAAATGAAACCAAATCATTGGTTGTGATAACCCTCTAATGAATGGAAAACATTTTGGTATTTTCCCAGCCTTCCCTTTGTCAGCTTCATTTTTCAGAAGAAAAACAAATAACATTCTCGGCCAGTTACCAATTTAAAAAACTTTTGAAACGCTGGTCTTTTAGGTTACTAACTATTAGTTTAGTTGCTTTCCTTATTTTTTTTTTTTTTAAGATTCTCAAATTTAACATCTTTATTTATTTATTTTTATTTTTTCAGGTGCTAATATTTTATATTTTTTAAATTTATTTATATATATATATATGTTTTTGGTTACAGATGTTTCTCCTTTTTTACCCCATTGGCACCTCCCTCCCCATCCCCCCCACCCCGTCCCCGGCTTTGTTGTCCATGTCCATTGGTTATGCATACATGCATATAAGTTCTGTGGTTTATCTCTTCCTACCCCCCCACCCCCTCTTCTGAGGGATGTCAGTCTGTGCCCTACTTCCATGTTTCTGGGTCTACCGTATTCCTCAGACTGTTATGTTCATTATATTCCATATATAAGTGAGATCATGTGGTATTTGTCTTTTTCTGCTTGGCTTATTTCACTTAGGATCACTTTCCTTTTTAAATGGTCATTATAAAGGTCAGCTCTTACATGGTTACCCTCTCTGATTAAACCTTCTGTCAATTGAATGTGTAATAAATATTTCACCACTTACTACAGACATGTAAACAGATATATTCAGACTCTTTGATCTATGTACATATAGTTGTCATGCAGACATGGCCTTGTTTTTGCTAAGTTGAAGAGTATCATTGCAATTAGCTTTGATTTTTGTGCTGCTGCTCATGGTTTGCTTTCAGGGCATTGGTAGAGAAGGAATTCACCTATAGAAGCCTTCATTTTTGGTGAGCTCGCCCCACCACACACACACACACACACACACACACACACACACACACACACACACACATATTAAAATTTGTCAGTGGCAGAAGATGGGAATTCCCAAAGAGTAGGAATGCTAGGTTTAGAATGGTAGGAATTGCTATGTCAGGTGGGTTTTCATCATAAGCAAACGTTCTCATACTGATCTGTCTTAGGCTTATATGCTTAAAGGCTTTACCAGGGCATACCATCTCCTTTTGTCTCTGTTTCATTCTGTCATGGAGAGGGAAAACTAAGGGAGACTCTATACCAGACATGACCATGTGAATCACATATGACTGTGTCAACAGTCATGACCAAATAAAAAGATGAAAGATATAGGATTCCACTAGACACCTGTTTTTTCTTTCCTAAAAGGATGTGGTGGGAATTGAGAAGGGTAGCTTGTGCAGTGAGAGAGCAATGCCCTGGGGTCAGAGCACCTGCTTTCCAGTTCTGGTGCTACGGTTTGGTGGCCGGGTGACTTCAGGCAGCTCTCATCACATGAACCTTTGATGCCTAGATGTCTCTTATATAAAATGGTTTAAATAACACCTTACTGATGGGGTTGTTATGAGAATTGGATAGGGTAATAAATGTGAAAGTGTAGTTGATTCTTGAATAACATGGTTTGAACTGCATGTGCCATTTAATATGTAGATTTTTTCAATAAATATTGTAAATGTATGTCTTTTTCTTACGATTTTCTTAACATTTTCTTTTCTCTAGATTACTTTATTTGAAGAATACAGTATATAATACATATAACATAGACAATTTTTGTTAATCAATGTTTATTTATTGGTGAGATTTCAGGTCAACAATAGGCTATTAGTAGTTAAGTTTTTGGGGAGTCAAAAGTTATATGCAGATTTTTGACTGTGGGAGGGTGGGTTTTCCTAACCCCTAAATTGTTCAAGGGTCAACTGTACTTTTGTGAACCATGAGGTATACAGTTAAATACTAGGTGTAATAATATATGAGTAAGAGGCATGTTATACCTTTTCAAGGTACAGTAAAATTTCATTTCATATCTGCAGATATAAATGGGGATTCCTAACTGTGTGTGTTTGTGTGATTTTAGAATATATTATGAATGCATTGTTGGTGGCAGATTTACTTTCCTAAATTTTGCTTTTACTAATATCAAATATGAATTCACTTAATATATTTAAACTAACCATAAGAATGGTTATCCAAAAGAAAGCTGAGTGGCAAGGGAAAGCTCATCTGTTTTTTTTAATTGAATTTATTGGGGTGACATTGGTTAATAAAGTTATATAGGTTTCAGGTGTACAATTCTACAATACATCATCTGTATATTGTATCGTGTGTTTACCACCCCAAGTCAAGTTTCCTTCTATCACCCTTTATCTCCCCTTTACCCTCTTCTATCTCCCCAATCTCCATTCCCTCTGGTAATCACCATATTGTTATCTGTGTCTATGAGTTTGTTTGCTTTTTTATGTTGAAGTCCTAACTCCATACCTGAGAATATGACCGCATTTGGAAACTGTTTTTTTTTTTTTTTTATCCTCACCCGAGGACATTTTTGCATTTATCTTCAGATAGAGCGAGAGGGAGAGGGGGGAAGAGAGAGAGAGAGAGAGAGAGAGAGAGAGAGAGAGAGAGAGAGAGAGAAACATCTACTGGTCACCACCCATTCAACCCCAACCAGGGCTGGGGACAAACAGCAACCAAAGTACATGCCCTTAGCAGGAACCAGACCAGGAACTCTCTGATCCACAGGCCAATGCTCCAACTGCTGAAGTAAACCGGCCAGGGCTGGAGAGTCTTTTTAAAACATTTATTGGTGTGGATGATATTGGTTAATAAAATTATATAGGTTTCAAGTGTACAATTCTACAATATGTCATCTGTATACTGTATTGTGTGTTCACTACCCCACGTCAAGTCTCCTTCCATCACCATTTATCCCCCTATATTCTTTTCTACCTCCCCAATCCTCTCTTCCTTCTGGCAATCACCTCTATGTCAACGAGTCTCCTTTTTTTTCTCTGCTTAATCCATTCACCCTTCTCACCAGCCCCCAACCCTTCCCCTCTGACAGCTGTCAATCTGTTCTCTGTATCCATGAGTCTGTCTTCACTTTGTTTGTTAGTTATTAAAATTTGTTCCTGAATACTTCACATGAGTTTCATTGGTCTCATGTTTCATCCTTGATGCATTCTGAGTCCTCCCTGATTTTAGCCCTTGCTGGAGCTTTTAGAGGCAAGTAGGCTCACAGTTGTTGATTTTTTTTTAATCTAATTTTTTAAAAACATTGGTGTATGAATGCATTAGCTTAAAAATGACTGGTTTAAGAGTCAAACATAGTGTATCCATAATATATCAGGTAGCACCCTTATTTGGTGACTGTGGTATGGCAAGCCCTTGAAGGCTTCTCTTCTGAGCAGGTGGCTTAGGGACAGTAGGCATTCCTTGACACCTTCAGCCTCAAAGAAAGGCAAGCATTCATTGGGGAAGGCCAACCCAAGTCCTAAGATCCTCTGTCTGGAATGCAGGCCAGTGGATGCCCGCATCCCTTTGTCTGGTCATACTTCATCATGGCTGCTTGATCCAGGCTGAATTCTTCTCGTACCTTGTCTGTCCCTGATGTTGCTCAGCTGGCATGCTGGGACTCTCCTGCTTTTTTGCATTTTAAGATAAAGTGTTCTTGGCCCCTGATTAATTAGGGTGTTTGGGGGATTTTGCTTGTCTGTTTTTGTTAAATCGTTCTGATTGTCCAATGAAAACAGCATATGCTTTGAGGAGTAAGAACCATGGCTCAGGATCCCAAGAACAGGGATTTTCCCCATTAGAATATCCCAAAGGCTTAATTATTTATGAGAGTAAATCTGTGTGTGTATATGTATGTATATATGTGTTTGTTTTTTAAGGTAGCCAATGGATGTACAGAGGCATTAAGAGGATTATAGTTTTGCCACTTCTTTCTGAATAATTGCTGTATCTTATATCCATGCAAGTATATGAACTTATATACTTATATGCATATATATACACATACACATGCACACACATACCTAGATGAATATCAGGAGACACCACAGATGTCATGAGCCAATACTTAGGACATTCTGTTTTCTGATACTGAATTAAGCAGAAAGCTCCTTAGATAGCACTTTCATACTTTATTAGTTTCAAACTTATATCTGTAATGATCTTCTAAGGTTCCACCAGAACTGGAAGTGACTAGCTGAATCACTAGGGTAAAATAGTTTGGGTTAAATCTATGAAAATGATTGGTCTTCTTGCACCTGTGCACATGCATGCACGTATGTGTGTGTGGTGTGTGCACGTACACATACACACTTAATGTAATCATATAATTAGTTGCACTAGTTTTGTCTGAAATTTACTAAGACTTTGTTTGCTTGCTCAGTGATTGGTAAGACAAAGGATATTTTAAAACCATGATGTTTAAGGCTAAATAGCATTATTCAGGAGTAATTTCAGTTATGACTTGATATAACAGAAGTAGTAATTAAAGTTTTACTTTTAGAGACTTTTAATGTATTTCTAATATTCACTGTCAAAAATCACAATGTGACTTCTGCTTTTTTGTTTTATTCAGAGACACTTTTTCAGAAATCTTGGGTCTATTCTGGCCTATGCCTTTTTGGGGACTGCTGTTTCCTGCTTCATTATCGGGTAAGGGGCTTTTTGTAATATAACCTAATAACACTTTACCAAAGAGATGAGATCCACATGGGTCCACAGAGTCCAGTCTTTCCCCCCAGCTTTATTGAGATGCAGTTGACACAACATTGTGTAAGTTTAATATGTACAAAGTGTTGATTTGATACATTTTTTAAAATTCAAAATGATAACTAGCATAGCATTAGCTAACACCTCTATCCTCTCACATAATTACCTTTTTTTTTTTTTGTGGTGAGAACATTTGAGAACTTCTCTTTTATCAACATTCAAGTATATGATATAGCATTATTAGCCATGGTCACTGTGCTGTACATTAGATCCCCAAACTTGTCAATCTTATTACTGGAAGTTATTACCCTTTGAGCATCATCTCCTCATTTTCCTTTCTTCAGCCCGTGGCAATCACCAGAGTCCAGTATTTTGACATTTATGATGATGGCATTTAAGATCTACGTTGTCCAGTGTGGTAGCTGTTAGTCATATGTGACTATTTAAATTAAAATTAAGATTAATTAAGATGAAATAAAACTATACCTAGTCCCCAGATCTTGGTTTCTAATATTCTCCAGTAAAAGAATCAAGGCTCTTTGCAGAAATGGCTGATTATAGGGCTGGGGCAGCAAATATACAAGAAGAGAATGGAGAACTTATAATGTCAAAAAGTAAGGAAGTGCCCAGAAAACAAACATTGATAATGATGGGAGGCAAGACAGGGAAAAAGCTGCCAGAGAGATGTCTAGTACTCACGTCAAAGCTTGTGGTAGAAGGAAATAAAGAGGAAGGTGTGGTTTCAGGAAATATTTAAAAGGTAGATGAAAGAAGCCTTTGATAAGCAACAAAGGGCAAATCAGATCTGTATGATAGAGTTTCTATAAATTAAAATAGAACTGTCCAAGTATCTGGAACAGTGCCTGAAGCGCAGTAAGTAAACATTGTTATAGTTATTTATTCTCAAAAGGATTAAATTCTGCAAATAGTTTTTTTTTCTTTATCCTCACCCGAGGACACTTTTTCATTCTTTGTTCAGATAGAGCAGGAGGGAGAGAGAGAGAGAAACATCGATGTGAAAGGGACACATCGAGTGGCTGCCACCTGCACGACCAACCAGGGCTGGGGACAAACTGCAACCGAGGTACATGCCCTTAGCGGGAACCGAACCCGGGTCTCTCCGGACCGCAGGCCAACGCTCTAACCGCTGAGCCAAACCGGCCAGGGCTGCAAATAGTTCTTGAGCTCCTAACTTAGTCAACCTACTTGTTCTAGGCAGCAAGGATACAAAAGTGAGCGAGGACATGGTTCTGACCATGAAGAATCTTATTATCAGACAATTGGCTTAAGGATGCAATGAGTCTATTCTGTGGTTATTTGTGTAACCCTAACCCCTGCATCTGCTGTTACTGCGTGCGCGTGCGCACGCACACGCACAATACCATAGTAACATGTACTAAGTCTTTTAACATTCCTCACTCATCCTAATTTGTAAACTGTCCTATAGGAATTGTACTCTGGCCAAGTTCAAATATTGAACTTGATGGTCCCTCTTGGGTCATATATTCTGCACAGCGTAAAGAGGACTGCTGCTGGCCTGCCAACCCCATGCAGAGAATGAGAGGACAGATGTTAATGATTACATTGATTTTTTTAAAAAATCCTCACCCGAGGATATTCTTTTCTTTTTTCCCACTCATCTTCAGATAGAATGGGAGGAAGGGAGGGAGGGAGGGAGAGAGAGACAGAGACAGAGACAGAGACAGAGAGAGACAGAGATGTTGATGTGAGAGAGACACATCAATTGGTTGCCTCCTGTACCACCCCGACCAGGACCCTGACCAGGGCTGGGGACTGAACAGCAACGGAGGCATGTGCCCTTGACTGGAATCGAGCCCCTGACTTTTCAGTCCAAGGGCCGATATTCCAACCACTGAGCCAGACCGGCCAGGGCTACACTGATATTTTAATTGGATGTTTAGAAGTTTGCCTCTTTCCCTTCTTTGAAATAATTCTTGGCAGGAAACATTGATCACTTGAATCTTTGTGGCTAACCTATTTTTTTTTTCCTCTCTAGCTTCATGCAATCCACTCATTTCTATGACTTTAAACACACTATCTTAGAATCCTGTGAGTTTTATAGCAACCTATTACACATTTTGCAGGGTTCTTTCTTCTCTATTATCCAGTAGCTTAAGATGCCTTTTTTTGCTAATTGAGGACCACACTTTATAGTTGTAAGCACAACTTTTAAAAATGGGATGTTCAGATGTTTCAGCAAGATGACAGTAACTGCAAACTATTACTTGGTGGCAAAGTCTCATTGCATATGTCCCTGGTAAGTGTCCAACCACAGCAGCTGCCTGATGTTTTCATGACTCTCTCTTGAAGTACAGTATTCTAGTATTACTCTGCTTGCATATTTGCTAGGTTACTCAATTAGGAGAGTTTTCTTTTCTTTTTTTCTTCTGACATAGTTTGCCTTTCTTTCTTACAGAAATCTCATGTATGGTGTGGTGAAACTCATGAAGATAGTGGGACAGCTCTCAGATAAATTTTACTATACGGATTGTCTCTTTTTTGGAGCAATTATCTCTGCCACTGACCCAGGTATTTTGCATATTTGGCATTATCATTATGATATTTCATTATTTAAATCTTAAAAAGTTCAGAGTAATCATGAACTTTTGTTGTAGTTGGGAGACTGTAGTATTAACATGGAATGGTGGGGGAAGAGACCAGTAAGTGGTCTAACAGACTTAGATAGCTTTTCTAAGAAAGACATGCATTTCCCTATTGTTATTATTATAATAAATTGTGGTAAAACACGTAACAAAATTTACCATTTTAACCATTTTTAAGTGTACAGTTCAGTAGTCTTACGTGTATTCACGTTGTTGTCTAACTAACCTCCAGAACGTTTTCATCTTTTAAAAGTGAAACTTGACACCCCCATTAATCAACTCCCCACTTCCCACTCTCCCAGCCCCTGGCAACCACCATTCTGCTTTCTGTCTCTATGAGTGTGACTACTCTAGATACTTCATATAAGTGTAGTCATACAGTATTTGTCTTTTTGTGAATGGCTTATTTCACTTTGCATAATATCTTCAAGGTTCATCCATGTGATATAGCATGTGTCAGAATTTCCTTCCTTTTTAAGCCCAAATAATATTCCATTATATGTATATACCGCATTTTGTTTATCCATGCATCTGCCAATGGACACTTGGGTTGCTTCTACTTGTATTTCCTCTTTGTCTTTCATTTGAGAATGTCTAGTTTGTTTGTAATTTTACACATAGACTATCTTCTTTTTCAATTCTGTGCTTTTGCCTAAGAGTGAAAGTGTACATGGTACCTGTAGTGAGTGTAATTTATTTTGTAAACTGCTTTTGTGCAATGTTCCTGCATGACTTCACATTGTGATGTGGTTCTTATACATAAATTTCTTACCCTGTATTTTTCAAGTGTTAGTTGAACCAATTCTTAAAAGTTAAATCAGTTCTTATATGTCTTTCCTCCCCTGCAGCTCAAAAAACAACAACAAGCAAAACACACAAACAACCCCAAAACAAAATAAAATGTCTCCTCTCCAAGTCAGAACTCATAATTAAATCAGTTTGCATAAAGTTTTATCTATTCCTTCCTCTAGTGTCAACTGTTGAGGGTGCACCTTAGGGAAATAATTTACAGAGAAAGAACTAATCCTGTCCTAATAGTGGGGATGGAAATGTCTACGATGTTCTCTAACATTATGAACAGTACTGATCTTAAAGATACTAAGATTCTCTCCCACTTCACCATGTCTCTTGGGGGTCCTCTAGATCAGTGCTATACCATAGACCTTTGTGTGATGGTAGAAATGTTCTGTAACCTTCCCAGCCCATTGTGGTAGCCAGTAGTCACATGTGGCTTTTTGAAATGTGTGATAGTGCAACCGAAGAACTGAATTTTAAATTTTATTTTATGTTAAGTAATTTAAATTTAAATAGCCACATGTGAATAGCATAGCTCTAGATAGTCATGTGGTTCTAAAAATTTTCAGTGTTCCAAAAACCATTGACCCTCTTATCTCCATATTTTACTCCAAATACTCTAAGTAAGTCGATATTGAAGACTTGGTTGGTTGAAGCACCCTGGTTTGTGAAAAGAATATGGGATGTGGAGTTGCAGGCAGAGGTTTTCATTCTAGCCCTGCCAGTCACTGAGCTGGTGGTCTGGGCACACTTTATCACTTCCATGTCAGTTTCCTCATTTATGAAGTAGAAATAATGGTACCTATTTCCTAGGACTATTGTGAAGATTAAATGAAATAACACATGTAAAACATTGAGCATAGCATCTGCTAATTATATTGGTCTCTATTCACATCTGACTCAGGCACAGTTTCTCTGTTTTCCTCATTAAAAAAATAACATAAATGGCAGGTCACCACTTAACCCCCGCATGTTTCTAAAGAGCACTCTGAAAGTGGCTTTATTATTATAATGCTACAACGTCTGTAACTATCTCTAAATGTATGTCTGTTGAGACATAGATTCTTCGTAAGTCTAGGAAAGGTGATTTGTTTCTTTGAAAATATATTATTAACTGTAATTGTCTATAACTGTATTACTAACTTCTTACTAGTACCACTAGCAAGCAAAGGACAATTATTGTAACATAAAGATATCTGATATTGTTTTCTGAGCTATTAGTGTTGCTTCATTTAATTGGATAAAAAGACTTATTTTTCCAGATTGTCTTTGTAATTGTTTGCTTCACTCTACTGTGTCCATCCTGTGGTGGAAAATAATAGAAGGCATTTCCATGATAAACTTTTTTTTTTTGCTTGTGAAGATTGGCACAGTAAGGGTTTGATATAAATTGAATGTTCTAGGAAATTGAGAGTTTAATCTTAATAAACATGAGGACATTAGCTTTAACTGCTTTTTAATGGAAATCTTTCTGAAATGTAGAATGCTTTTTAAAATTACAAGTATTTTATCATTTTCCCCAAAATCTGTTGTTTGAAAACTTGGACCATCAAAGAAATAAAAAGTTAAGTATAGAATTAGAGGGGACCATAAGACCAAATTGACTTCTTGTGCCAGGTATGTAGTAGTGTTGACAGATATGAAAGAATAAGAGTCTTTGTCCCTAATTACACTGTACTTGGCTTGAGACAGCAGTCTTTGCTCTTCCTGTTGAAGACACCATGTATGTGGAATGGTGGAGGCTACTCTGACCAGGAGCCCTCTCCATTCTGTGGTTATGTGTCATGGGTGCCATGTGCCATTCTTTTAGACTGTTACTTTAGATGGATCCACAATTCAAGAAAGAAAATGAAATTTCAACCCGTAGTGCATTCTTAGGCAGAGAAAATGAGTGATATTCCTTCCTGTGAACCATTATGAAGTGACTCCTCTCATTTGAATTCTGTCAGTTTTATACCCCTCGAGTCAATCAGGCCTACTCACAGGTTTCAAAATCTGTGATTGGTGTTATCAAAGAGTAATTCACTCAGGCTGGTCAGTATTTTGCTTATTCTTTGAGACTCAGTTCAAATCTGCCACCTGCTTAGTTCTTTCCTTACTCCTTCAGTTACTTGCTCCCTCAGCTGTTGAGTTGTCTATTTTGTACACAATACTTGCTGCTTTGTACTGAGTGTTTGCATGTGCTAAGTGCTCTTTAGTACACAGAAGAAGAGTTCAGGAAAAGTTAGTTGAGCCCTGGCTGGTCTGGTTCAGTGGTGGAGCATTGTCCCACGGACCAAAGGAAAATTTAGTTGAATGAATAAATTAAGGCTCTTGATTTTCCCTTCTTCCCCCATCTGTTATTCTATTATTTTCCCACTGCTTTTTAGATACCTGTACCAGCAGTCATCAGTCAGTTCACTGTAATTTCTCTGCATATTCAGTTGGAAACAGCTGTTATGACCTTGTGTTGATTCCAAGGTCCTGCTGTGGGTGGAAGAGTCTGTTTATTCCCCACTTCTAGAAGCCACTCATCCAGTTCCCCATCCCTCCCAATCATCTTTCTGATGTCAGCACCCTTATTTCTCATTTTGGTTGGGCGCAGCCTTGCTCAGGAGGAGACTGGCAGGGTTCTTGTCCTATTTTATAAAGTGATTGACAGGAAGGATGAGAAATCAAAATTCATAGCAGTCAGATTCAGATCAGTGCTGTAGAAATATTAATTATTATTATTATTATTTTATTTTTTTATCCTCACCTGAGGACATTTTTCCATTTATCTTCAGATAGAGCAAGAGGGAGAGAGGGATGAAGAGAGAGAGAAACATCGATGTGAGAGAGACACATCAAATTGGTTACCACCCATATGACCCAATCGGAACTGGGGACAAACTGCAACTGAAGTACATGCCCTTAGCAGGAACCAAACCCGCCCTGGCTGGTTTGGCTCAGCTGTTAGAGCGTCGACCTGCGGTCCTGAGAGACCCGGGTTCGGTTCCCGCTAAGGGCGCGTAACCTCGGTTGCAGTTTGTCCCCGGCCCTGGTCGGTCGTGCGGGTGGCAGCCACTCGATGTGTTCCTTTCACATCGATGTTTCTCTCTCTCTCTCTGTTCCTCTCTCTCCCTCCCACTCTACCTGAACAAAAAAATAGGAACCAAACCCAAGCGGGACTCTCTGGTCCATGGGCTGATGTTCTAACTGCTGAGCCAAACCGGCCAGGGCTAATTATTATTATTAATTATGCAACCTAGCCTTTATTGTCATGGATAAATGAAATAATTGTACATTATTTTTTTAACTACTGTTAACTAGTATTTTAGGAAAATAGTGTTTTAAGTCAGAAGAGCTTTTGAAAATCATGTAGCTCAAACCCTCCCTTGGCTAAAGTCTTTAGACTTTATGGTGTGCTAAGTTTTCATTGCTAGTTGGTGGCTATGTTGGATGCTTCTGTGTGCTCCTCCAGTTTTACTTGCCACCCTTTTCTAATCTCCTCTCCATGCCAAGGATCTGACTTGTACAGAAGATTTCAGACATTCCTTTATCTTCTGGTTTCCTATTGGATTTGTCCATGGGGGAGCACCAGTGGGAGAATGGAAGGAAGGTGGAGATGCAGAGTCCCTGAGGGCTGGCTGTGTCCCTTGATCAAAGGTGACTCTCTTGTCAGGTGACCCTCTCCATATATTTCCTGGTTCTAACAGTCACTCCTTCCCTGGTCCCTTTTGGCCTAAGGATGGTATAAAGCTTCCTGTTTCTGCCTCAAGTACTGCCCTCTCACTTGTGGCTTTCCTCTACTCTCCCCACATGTCTATAAATAACCCCTTATTACACACAAATTGCTCAGTTTGAGGGTGCCATCTGTTTCCTGCCAGGACCCTGACTAATAAAGTCCTGGACCCAGATATCCTGGGCTGCCAGAATGTGCTCTGTTAGTGAAGATTAGCCTGTATCTCTCTTGAGTCCCTGAGTGACTTATGTGAACAGAGGCCTTCTGTGTCAACTGCCAGTGGACATATTGTATAAGTAACAGATAAAACTATTCTTAGGTCAACCACTGAGATTTTAGGAAGTTTGACACTGCAGTTGAAAGCAGTCCCTTATACAGGGCCTGATTTCTTTTCTCTGAGTTTGGGAAATGATAGTGCTACCCACAGGCTTTTATGAGGACTAAGTGAGATTGTAAAATGTTTAGTATAGTGCCTGCTTCATGGTAAATCCTTAATAATTGTTGTTAATATCATTGTTAATTTTTCTTCAACATTGGGTTAAAAATAAGACAATTCTTATATCATATACAGTTGACCCTTGAACAACATGGGTTCATACTACATGGGTCCACTTGTATGCGGGGTTTTTTTTCAATAAATATTTGTACTGTAGACGATCTACAGTTGTGAGTCTGCAAATATGGAGGGCATTGATCTACTCCATGTCATACAGGGGACTTGAGTGTCTGTGGATTTTGGTATCCACAGGGGGTCCCGAAACCAATCCCCCATGGATATTGAGGGACAACTAAGTTTTCAGGGAGATAAAAATTATACGTGGATTTTTTACTGTGCAAGGGGTTCAGCACACCAACCCCCACATTCTTTAAGAGTCAACTGTAATGATAAACTAGTAAAGTAAAGGTATTAGTTGGGGTTCTTCAGAGAAACAACAAATAGGAGGTGTGAGTGTGTGTGTGGTGAGACAGACAGACACACACACACACACACACACACACACACACAGAGAGAGAGAGAGAGAGAGAGAGAGAGAGAAGTTGAGAAATGGAGAGATTATAACGAATTGGCTCAAGCAATTATGGAGGCTGTGAAGTCCCAAGATTGGCAGTCCAAAATCCTAAGAACCAGCAAAGCCAATGCTGTAGCTCCAGTCCAAGTTAAAAAATAGGAGGAGACTGACATCCCAGCTCAAAGACATCCAGGCAGTGCCCAGCTGGTGTGGCTCAGTGGATTGAGCATCCCCCAAGGACTGAGAGGCCCCTGTTTGATTCCTAGTCAGGACACATGCCTGGGTTACGGGATCAATCCCCAGCGGGGGGCATTTAAGAAGCAGCTGATCAGTGTGTCTCTCTCACTTCAATGTTTCTATTTCTCTGTCCCTTCCTCTTTCTCTAAAAAAATCAATAAAAACATAAAAATAAAAGACATCCAGGCATAGAGATTGAGTTCTTCCTTACTCTGTCTTTTTGTTCTACTCAAGCCTTTAACAGACTGGATGTGTCCCATCCACACTGGGAAGGACCATCTACTCTAATCAGTCTACTGATTCAAATGTAGTCTTATCCAGAACCTCACAGACACAGCTGGAATAATGTTTAATAAGTACTTGGGTACCCCATGGCCCAGTCAAGTTGACACATAAAATGAAGCATTACAAGTTTTATGTAGGGAGCTACAGAGATTGTTCATATAATAAATAATCCAGAATATAAGATCTTTTTTAGCCTAATTGCTAAGAATTTTTCTTCTTGTTGAATCTGATAAACTATATTTAAGGTTGGGTGAAAGAGATTTACTTTACTTACTGCTTACTGTCAATAAATGAAATGTTTAGAAAAGGAAGGCATGGTGGGGGTAGTGTAGGTTTGGAATCTCCCTTAATCTCTAACAAAAGCAGAGAAAGCAGGACAGCAAAAGAAAAAACACAGAGATACAACTAGCTGACAGAGTATCCTCATGAATCTATAACTGTCAACTGGTAGGGTAAAACCACCAGCAGCAGTGAGACTTAGGGAAAGAAACAGCAACTGTGCTGAGGTAGCAGAAGGGAGAAGAGGGGGATGCTAATCACTTTGACTGTCAGGGAACCCAGCAATTTCTTGCAAATATTCACACTCAAAATGAGGGGTCCCCACTGAGAGTAAGCAACTTCATAGGCATATTGGATAACAACAGTTAAAACTGGAATGGATGCCCTGGCCAGTTTTGCTCAGCTGTTAGAGTTTCGGCCTGTGGACCAATGAGTCGCAGATTTGATTCCGGCCAAGGGCACATACCTTGGTTGCGGTATCCCAGGCCTGGTTGGGTCGTGCGGGAGGCAACCAGTCAATGTGGCTCTATCACATCAATATTTCTCTCTGTCTCTCTCTCTGTCTCTCTCTGTCTCTGTCTCTGTCTCTGTCTCTGTCTCTCTCTCTCTCTCTCTCTCTCTCTCTCTCCCTTCTTCCCACTCTATCTAATGATAAATAGAAAAGTATCCTCAGGTGAGAAAAAAAAAACTGGAAGAGAATTTGCAGGCTTCAGTTGGTGGGTGTAGGCAAGGATACTAGAGGAGGTATGAGACTTCTGGAGTGACCTGGGCCCTCAGGGCTCTCAGAGAATAACCAGGGAAGAGCTATCTGGAAGCCACTCCCTATATATGAACTGCTAGGATCATGGACCTTGATTGATGGGACCTTAAAGGAGAAAGAAAGCTCAGATACCAGTGGAGGAGACTAGATGAAGTAGATCTCAGAGTGCTGGGGAGGTAGCTACACCAAGAGGCCATGTTTTTTTTTTTTTTTTTTCAGTTAATCCTCACCCAAGGATATTTTTTCCATTGATCTTCAGAGAGAGTGGATGGGGGCTAGAGAGAGAGAAGTGGGGGTGGTGGGAGAGAGGGACATCCATGTGAGAGAGACACATCTATTGGATGCCTCCCACATGTGCCCCAACCAGGGTTGGGGATTGAACTTGAAACCCAGGTACGTGCCCTTGACTGGGAATCGAACTCGAGACCCTTTAGTCTGTGCGCTGACCCACTAACTGCCAAGCTGAACTAGCCATGTTTTTAATACTTCAATGTAAAACCAGAAGAGGGAGCCCCAGAGCCATGAAACTAGGAAATCTATCCTGGGCCTTCTACCCCTGACTTAATAGGGGAAGCAGAAATGAATTGAGCTTGAACTTCAACCATATTGTAAGAAAAATTAAGTTAATCCTTGTGAATAATAAAATTGCAGATAATGAAGTCATACCAGAAAAATAGGGTCCCAATGCAGACAGAACTTTATTAATATTACAACAGAACCTAAAGGAAATTTTAAACAATGATGGAAATTGCCCTGGTTGATTTGGCTCAGCAGTTAGAGCATCAGCCTGCGGACCAAAAAGTTGTGGGTTTGATTCTGGTCAAGGGCACGTACCTCGGTTGTGGTTTGGTCCCCAGCCCTGGTCAGGATCGCGCGGGAGGCAACCAATGGATGTGTCTTTCTCACATCGATGTTTCTCTTTCTCTCTCCCTCCCTCCCTTCTTTCCTCCCACTCTATCTGAAAATCAGTGGAAAAATGTCCTCATGTGAGAATTTTAAAAAATGATAGAAGTTATGAAAGAACTGTTTACTATATCAGTATTGGAAAATTTAGAAATGAGAGGACTAAACAACAGGGCACTATGAAAAGAGAGCCAACAGAAAGGAAACAAGGGGGATTTGTGGAGTAAAAGAGATGTAAAGTATTTAAAAAATAAATTTTAAAGTGGGCAAAACCAAATGATAGTGTCAGGGAATATACATTGGATGGTCAAACTATAAGGAAATGCAAGGAAGCAATTACTGTAAAATCAGATTATTGGTTACTTTTGAGTGAAGGAAGGGGTTTGAGATTGGGATAGAACATATGGGGGTAATTCTGCAGAGGCTGGCAAAGTTCCATTTCTTGAACTGGATGATGATTACGAGAGTGACTGGCTTATAACTCATTAAGCTAAACATTTGTTTCATTTATTTTTCTAATTGCATCACTTTGTAATGCTTTAGCTGCAAATAACAGAAAATCCTGGCAATACCAGCTTAAACAAATAGCTGTTTATCTTGGCTAATAGTCTAGAGCTGGTACCATGGCTCCTGCTACTATCAGGCATCCAGATGCTCAGTGTTCAGTGTTACTGGTATCTTGTGGGTAGAGACCAGGGATGCTGCTGAATATCCTACAGTGCACTTAACAGCCGCCCCCCCCCCCCAACAAAGAATTTTCTGGTCCCAAATGTCAATGGAGCCAAAGTTGAGAAACTCCAAACCCCCTTCAGGGGGTCCATAAGGTCCAAACTGATTTAATAATAATAGTAATACATTATTTGTCATTTTTACTTTCATTCTTTAACAATATACGGAGGAGTGGGGTTTTCTGGAGACTGCATTAACATGTGATATTGAATATCTGTTGATCAAATGCAGAAACAGATGAGAACCATCTGTCTACAAAGGAGGGAGAGAGGAAGAAAGTGAGAGAGAGAGAGAGAGAAAGAGAGAAAGAGAAACATCAGTTGCTTGCCTCCTGCAGGACCCCAACCAGAGCTGGGGATCAAACCTGCAACCAAGGTATGTGCCCGTATGTGCCCTTGACTAGGAATCGAACCTGAGACCCTTCAGTCCACAGGATGATGCTCTAACCACTGAGAAAACCTGCTAGAGCTATTTTTTTGGAAAATATAATTATTTTCTATTAAAATTTGTAATATAGGTTTCTTAGTAATTTTAAATGAACAGATATTTAATTTTTTTCTGTTTTACTCAATGCAGTAAATACTGATAGCTGTAGTCTACAACACTAAAGCTCTTTGGGGGTCTGAATAATTTTTTAGAGCGTAAAGGAGTCCTGAAGCCAAAAGTTTAAAAACTGCTGGTCTGGAGACTAGCTGACTTTTAAACACCTAAGAAATATGGAGACTATGATAAGTGTAATATGCACAGTGTGTCATAAACAAAGACTTATTTCACAAACTGTCATTAAAGCCTTCTCTGTGCCCTGACTCTCTACTGGGTTCTGGGAACACAGTAGTCAGTAAAATAGGGTTTCTGCCCAACGATAGAGCCAAGTCACATTAATTGTGATTATGTTTATTTAAAGTTCCATAAGAGAGGTTTTTTTTTTTTTCAAAGTGTGATGGGATTACAGGGGAAAGGGCAGTGTTTTGGTGCAATGTTGTTAGAATCAAGCATCATCTCACAACTCTGATTCGGAAGATTGCCATTTTTGTTTCTGCCATAGACAGACAACCCCCCTTTGACTCCTTGACTGTCTCCCAAACCACCCCATCCTGCTGAAGATAAGAATAGCTTCTATAAATTTGTCATTGGTGGTTTAAGGTCAGAAACAGAATCTAATTTATGTGCTTTTGGCTCATTCTTTAGTGACTGTACTGGCGATATTTAATGAGTTACATGCAGACGTGGACCTTTATGCACTTCTGTTTGGAGAAAGTGTGCTAAATGATGCTGTTGCCATTGTGCTGTCCTCGTAAGTAACAATATTTTTGCCTGGGGAAGAGAGACTCTGGCTTCCTGGATGCTCCGAGCTAAATTCAGAGGCCTGTCTTGAAAGTGTTAAATATTGAATTGGGTGTTTTTCTAAATGAGGTTTCTCAACTTTATTGATAATGTTATGTTGCTTTGTCCAGTGGGCAGCAATCAGAATGCTGTACCGTGTAACATGGTGATTTACAGATTAACTTCAGTGACTACACCATAGAGAGTGCCTGGCAGAGTGTAGATACCTGTGTTTGTTGATAGTCATGGTGTAAAACTAGCAATCTTTTAAAACTTTATCTTCTTTTTAAACTCCAGGTCTATTGTTGCTTACCAGCCAGCAGGACTGAACACGCATGCCTTTGATGCTGCTGCCTTTTTTAAGTCAGTTGGCATTTTTCTAGGTATATTTAGTGGCTCTTTTACCATGGGAGCTGTGACTGGTGTTGTGACCGCTCTGATATCCTTTTTGTAGTTTCTGACCCTGCCTGGGTGTGATTATGTGACATTACACTTGCAAAAATAAAGTTGCCAGTTCTTCCTTTCAGAAATGAATCTTAAATCTATTGTTTCACTGGAATTTGAGGGCTCCTGAAATGTCCCTTTGGTAAAACATGACAGTCAAATGCCTAGCTAAGTGTCTGAAAAAATGTTTGGAATGTAACTCTGTCCTCACCTATGCATTTTTCTCTCTCTCCTATGAACCAGTTAGAGATGGGAGCTAATGGGAAGCAGTACTTTCAGGGAGATGAAAAGAAGTGAAGAACCAGGAGGAGGCTGGGAATCAGGGACCACCTCACAGGAGACCAGGAGGAAGCAGGCTAAGGAGTACTTGAGCCCCAGGCTTACTGCTACCATCAGCTGTTCTGAGCCATATAGGGATAACGTGGCGATAACTAGCTGGGGACCATCAGTAAGAATTACTGTGAGGTGGTCTTCCTTAAGTGGGCTGCACAATGTTTAGTTTAAAACCAACTAACCAGCCCACCAACCAACCAACCAACCAACCAACAAAAGTAAAGTGTAGAATGAGCAGGCAGCCCCTCCACAGCTGTGCTGAGTCATCATATTTTCTTTCAGTGGCATTTAGATCACTGCTGTCCAATACAAACATAATGGGAGCCACAAATGTGAGCCACATTTCAGCCTGCAATCAGTATACAAATTAACAAGACTTATACAAATTATTAACAAGATTTTATAAATTCAATTTTTGTACTGAATCTTTGAAATACAGTGTGGATTTTGCTCTTACAGCACATCTCAACTGAAACTAGCCACATTTTAAATGTTCAGTAGCCATGTGTGGCTAGTGGCTACAATATTGGACAGCACAGAATTATATTACTTTCTTCAGAGAGTCAGTCCCCTTTGATACCCTGGAGACCTAAATTGCTTAGTGAAACCATCCATGAGATGGTTCCATGCTGGTCTACCATGGAATGTCAGTGTTAGGAGGGAAACCTCTGGTCCCAAAAGGTGATACCCACACCTTGTAGTTTCCCCTGGAGTTGCGCATTTCTTTCTTTCTCATGCCTACACTAGGCACCTGCTATGAACTCAGGCTGCAGTGGCCTACAGAGGTCAAGGTCTCACGGCCTCATCCTTCCAGGCCAGCCCTAGTCACTCTGAGCACTGTCAGAACTAACCTGATAATCACACTCAGGCAAAGACTGTGCCTTTTAGAACCATGGGCATTGCAAGGAACACAGAAAACTCATTTCTAGTTTCTTCAGAAAGCTTAATTGTAAAAATACAGCTTTATTGAGATAAAATTCACACTGTGCAATTCACCCTTTTGAAGTGTACAATTCGATGGTTTTGGTATCTGACATTATTCATTTTTTAAAATTGTGGTAAAATGTATACAGCATAAAATTTGCTCTTATAACCATTTAAAGTGTACATTTTAATGGCATTAAGTACAACTACAATATTGTATAACTATCCCTGCTGTCTTTTTCCAGACTTTTTCATCATTCCCAACAGAAGCTGTGTACTCATTAAACAATGTCTCCCATTTCCCAGCCCTTGGTAACTTCTATTCTACTGGAAAGCTTAGTTTTTATTACTTTAAAAAGCAATCAGCACCTTTGGGGCACCAAAAGAAGAGTTGAGGGGAAAGGATGGTCCTTAGGGAGGGGATCCTGGACTAACAGAATATGTTTCTTGGTGACTCTGGTACTTGTTTCTGGAGATGAGTTCCTTGACAGGGGCTGACGTGACCAAATTTACCAAGCTGCACTGCTTCCCCCTGCTGGAGACAGCACTCTTTTTCCTGATGTCCTGGAGTACGTTCCTCTTGGCAGAAGCCTGTGGGTTTACAGGTAGGTTTTCATTTCTCTTGGGCCACCCTTCCCCTCACTGTATTGGTGGCTCTGGGAGCTTGAGGGGAGGGAAGAATTCTTAAATAGCAGCTGCATGTGTCCGTGTGGTGGATTGTTGAACAAGGCTAGTGTTCTGCCTTATGAATAATTTAGTTTCCCAAAACTACATATTTTTAAAGGATAAAGTTTATTGTTCAAACTCAGTTATGTCTTTGAGTAATTATTCTAACTATATGTTTAGATGCAAAGGTTACCAAACATAGTAACATCTTACTTGTATCCTCCCCTAGATTGCTGTGTTAGTTTACAAACAGTAGCAATAAGAAGTAAAATATATATCCTTTTAAAGGTAATTATGTGTCTACTAAGATGAGTGGGAACACAGTTATTCCTTGTTTTGTCTCTGGTCTCTTCAATCATTATTTTTGAATACCATGTTTTTATGGTGCCAGTTCCATATATTATTAGTGTGAGTGATCATGTGGTTTTAGTTCCTCACATTCTCATTACAAAAAATAAAAAACCAAATCACTGACTTTTTGTTTTAGAAATGTAAGTACAAGTACTATACATAGTCCAGGTAGTTAGGCAGTCCTTTTAAAAAATATGTTTTTATTAATTTTTTAGAGAAAGATGAAGGGAGAGAGACATAGAAACATCGATGTGAGAGAGAAACATCAATCGTCTGCCTCTTGCATGCCCCCTACTGGGAGTGGAGCCTGCAACCTGGGCATATACCCTGACTAGGAATTGAAAAGGGACCTTTCAGTCTATTGGATGACGCTCAGTCCACTGAGCCACATCAGCCAGGCTAGGAAGTCCTTTTATCATCCTTTCAAAGTATTGCAACCCATCTTTACTTTTTTTTAAAAAAATCCTCGCCTGAGGATTATCTTCAGATAAAGTGGGAGGGAGGGAGGGAGGGAGGGAGGGAGAGAGAGAGAGAGAGAGAGAGAGAGAGAGAGAGAGAGAGAAAGAAACATCAACGTGAGAGGCTCACATCAACTGCTTGCCTCCCGCATGACCCTGACCAGGGCCGGGGACAAACTGCAACCAAGGTACATGCCCTTGACCGGAATTGAACCTGGAACTCTTTGGTCCACGGGCAGATGCTCTAATCACTGAGAAAACTGGCCAGGGCTGCAACCTATCTTTATGTGCAACATTATAAATGCTCCACTTCCTTAAAACTTGACAATTATCTGTAACTATATAGGCAAAGTCCCAGGTGTGTCAATTGTCTTGCACAGCAAATTGGTTACCATTAACCAGAAATCTAGATCATCAGTGCTTGGATAAATGGAATAGCTCTATGGATCCACTTTGTCTGAATCCCTAGACCATGCAAAAATATAAAGCATTGGTTTGAAATTATACTCATTTTTTCTTAAGAACAGAAAGGAATATGACAAAAGTATATAACAGAACCTCACAGTCTCTTTGAATGCTAAATGCAAAATAGAGATGGTAATTCAATTGGAGTTTAGAGGAGAGGAGAAAATACCCTTAAAACTGGAGTAAGGGAGGAGGTCGGGACCTTGGGTTTGAAGGAAGTCAGGGCTGGGAGAAAGAAAGGTTGATATGAATGGTGGGGGTAGGGAGAGCTTTCAGTAATAGGAAACTCTCAACAATATTCAGAAACTTGGATATGCTGGGCTTGTGTATCTTAATTTTTTGTTTCATCAGAGATTTTTCCTGCTGCTTTTTATTCCATTGATTTTCTAAACAAATTCTCATGCCAGGTGTTGTAGCTGTCCTTTTCTGTGGAATCACACAAGCTCATTACACCTACAACAATTTGTCGGTAGAATCAAGAAGTCGAACAAAGCAGGTGAGCAAGAGCCCTGGGTCCTCACAAATTATGTGTGATTACAAGGGGAGTGGATCTGCAGAGTTTAATGTTTCCTTTTCCCTTTCCCTGTAGCTCTTTGAGGTGTTACACTTTTTGGCAGAAAACTTTATCTTCTCCTACATGGGCCTGGCACTGTTTACCTTCCAGAAACACGTTTTCAGCCCCATTTTCATCATTGGAGCTTTTGTATCCTTTTTTGGTTTGACTACTGTCTACACAGAGAGGTCACCACTGCTGAAGAAATTACAGTAATAATAATTTCTGTTTGGGGTGGGTGACTGAGCCAGCATGAGTTCATGATGTTTTTGTGATGAGAAAAAGGCTTAAATGGTTCATAAAGCTAAATGTATTTGATGTAAAGGACTGGCATTGATTCTGAGGTTGTCCTTTCTGCATTTTGTGTTTAAGATGGCCTTTCTGTAATCCTGTGCTTGGCAGGTGGTAGTTTGTTTTGTAAAGAGCCCTTCTTAGCAGATCTAAGAGTAGGCAACCATGTCAGTCCCCAGAACTATTTTTTATTTTATTGCTATGTAAATTCTAATCTGAGAGGTTCCCCATTTGGAAGACCTGAAGGTTCTGTTACTCTTGCTCTTGACTATGGGCAGCCCTTCCTGACTACCCAGGGAAGCTTGCAGGCAATAAGCATGCTTTCACCCAAGCTTACCATATCATGGTAGAAAAGACTTTTTTTTTTTCCCCAAAAAGAGAAAAAGGAGAAGAAGGAAAGAACAAATGAAAAAACACTTGGTTAAAAGAAGGCATTCAAGTTCAAGAAGCACAGAGAGCCCCAAGTAAGAAGAACCCAAACAGGCCCACACCAAGACACATAGTAATTGAAATGCCAAAATTTAAAGACAAAGAGAGAATCCTAAAGGCAGCAAGAGATAAGCAACAGGTTACCTACAAAGGAAACCCCATTAGGCTCTCAGCTGACTTCTCAACAGAAACAATACAGGTCAAAAGTGAGTGGCATGAAGTAATCAAGGTCATGAAAAACAAGGATCTGAATCCAAGACTACTCTATCCAGCAAGGCTATCATTCAAAATAGAAGGTCAAATAAAGAACTTTCCAAACAAAAAAAGGCTAAGGGAATATATTAACACCAAACCAGCACTGTAAGATATGCTAAAAGGACTGCTGTAATTAGTAGAAGATATAGGAAGAAAAATAGAACCACACTAAACAAAAATGGCAATAAATAAGTACATATCAATTATCACCTTAAATGTGAATGGTTTGACCGATACAATGAAAAGACACAGAGTAGCTGACTGGATAAGAAAGCATGACTCACATATATGTTGTTTACAAGACAACAACCTCACAACAAAAGACTCATATAGGTTGAAAGTGAAGGGATGGAAAAAAATCTTTCAAGCAAACGGAAAGCAAAAAAAAAGCTGGGATAGCAATACTCGTATCTCATAAAGTAGATTACAAAATGAAGGCCATAACTAGAGACAAAGAAGGTCACTACATAATACTGAAAGGATCTATCCAACAGGAAGATATAACCTTGGTAAACATATATGCACTCAATTTAGGAGCACCAACATATATTGAAACTCTTCTGGAGGACTTCAAAGGAGACATCAACAGCAATACAATCATAGCAGGGGAATTCAATACCCTGCTGATGTCACTGGATAGATCTTCTAGACAAAAAATTAACAAGGAAACACAGACTCTAAATGAAGTGCTAGATCAAATGGATTTAATAGATATCTACAGAGATATACACCCCAAAACTGCAGAATTCACATTCTTCTCAAGTGCACATGGGACATTCTCAAAGATAGACCACACGTTAGGGCACAAATTAAGTCTCTACAAGTTCAAGAGGACTGAAATCATATCAAGCATCTTCTCAGATCACAATGGCATGCAACTAAAAATCAAGTGCAACAAGAACATGCAAAGACATTTGACCATATGGAAGCTAAATAGCATGTTATTGAACAATGAATGGGTTACCATGGAGATAAAGGAAGAAATTAAACACTTCCTGGAAACCAATGAAAATGAACACACAACAACACAAAATCTGTGGGATGCAGCAAAAGCAGTTCTGAGAGGGAAGTTCATAGCACTACAGGCCTACCTCAAGAAGCAAGAAAAATTTCTAACAGACTATCTAACTTCACAACTTAAAGAACTAGAAAGCAAACAAAAAGAAAACCCGAGAGCAAGTAGAAGAAAGAAAATAGTAAAGATCAGAGCAGAAATAAATGACATGGAGACCAAAAAAACAATTCAAAGGATCAATGAAAGAAAGAGCTGGTTCTTTGAAAAGATAAACCAGATTGATGGACCCTTAGCTAGACTCACCAAGAAACAAAGAGAGAGAACCCAAATACACAAAATCAGAAATGAAAGAGGAGAAATAATCACTGACACCACAGAAATGCAAAGGATTGTTAACAAATATTAAGAACAATTATACGGAAACAAATTTGACAATCTAAGCGAAATGGACAAATTTATAGAAAGACATAGTCTCCCAAAACTGAACCGGGAAGAGATAGAAAACTTGAACAAACCAATAACAACAAAAGAAATTGAAGATGTAATCAAGACTCGCCCAGCAAACAAAAGCCCAGGCCCGGATGGCTTCTCGGGGGAATTTTACCGAACATTCAAAGAAGAACTAATATCCATTATCCTCAAACTATTTCAAAAAATTCAAGAAGAAGGAAGATTTCCAAACTCATTTTATGAGGCCAGCATAATTTTAATTCCAAAACCAGTAAAAGACACTACAAAGAAAGAAAACTACAGACCAGTATCCCTGATGAAGATAGATGCCAAAATCCTGAACAAAATACTCACAAATCAAGTCTAGCAATACATAAAAAAAATTTTCGCCGTGACCAAGTGGAATTCATCCCAGGGATGCAAGACTGGTACAATATTCTCTAATCAATAAATGTGATACACCACATAAACAAAATGAAAGATAAAAATCATATGATCATATCAATAGGCGCTGAAAAAGCATTTGACAAAATCCAGCACCCATTTCTGATATAAACACTCAGTAATCTGGGAAGATTCATATCTCGACATAATAAAGGCCATATATGAAAGACCTGCAGCCAACATCATACTCAAAGGGCAAAAATTAAAAGCATTTCCCTTAGGAACAGGAACAAGACAAGGATGCCCACTTTCGCCACTCATATTTAACATAGTATTGGATGTCTTTACCACAGCAATCAGACAGGAAGAAAAAATAAAAGAGATCCAAATGGGAAAAAAGCAAGTGAAACTGTCATTATTTGCAGATGACATGATACTATGCATAGAAAACCCCAAAGACTCCATCAAAAGTTTACTAGACTTAATAAATGAATTTGGCAAAGTAGCAGGACACAAAATTAACGTGAAGAAATTGATGGCATTCTTATACATCAATGATGAACTCACACAAAGAGAAACTAAAAAAACAATCCCATTTACCATCGCAGCAAAAAAAATTAAAATACCTAGGATAAACTTAACCAAAGAAATAAAGGACCTATTCGCAGAAAACTACAGGTCATTGAAAAAAGAAATAGTGGAAGATATAAAAAAGTGGAAGCACATACCCTGTTCATGGATTGGGAGAATTAACATCATTAAAATGTCCATATTACTCAAAGCAATCTATAGATTCAATGCAATCCCTCTCAAAATACCAACGACATATTTATAGAACTAGAACAAATACTTCAAAAGTTTATATGGAACCAAAAAAGACCTCGAATAACCGCAGCAATCTCGAAAAAGAAGAACAAAGTTGGAGGGATCACATTACCAGATTTCAGGTTATACTACAAAGCCACTGTAATCAAAACAGCCTGGTACTGGCACAAGAACTGGCAGGTAGACCAGTGGAACAGAACAGAGAACCCAGAAATGAAAAAATGAACACATGGGACTACATCAAACTAAAAAGCTTCTGCACAGCAAAAGATACAGTCATCAAAGTGGAAAGGCAACCCACTGTTTGGGAGAGCATAATTGCCAATGATACATTAGATAAGGGTTTAATATCCAAAATATATAGAGTACTCTTACAACTGAAGAAAAGGAAGACAAAGAACCCAATTAAAAAATGGGCAGAGTTGCTAAATAGACACCTCTCCAAACAGGACATACAAATGGCTAAGAGACATATGAAGAAATGCTCATCATCACTAATCATCAGAGAGATGCAAATTAAAACAACAATGAGGTATCACCTCACACCTGTCAGAATGGCCGCCATCAAGAAATCCTCAAGCAACAAGAGTTGGCGAGGGTGTGGAGAAAAGGGGACTCTAGTGCACTGCTCGTGGGAATGCAGACTGGTGCAGCCGCCATGGAAAACAATATGGTGTTACCTCAAAAAATTAAAAATTGAACTGCCATTTGACCCAGTGATTTAACTTCTAGGAATATACCCTAAGAAGCCTGAAACACCAATCAGAAAGAATATATGTACCCCCATGTTCGTAGCAGCACTGTTTGCAATAGCTAAGATCTGGAAACAGCCCAAATGTCCATCAGTAGACGAATGGATAAGAAAGCTGTGGTACATATACACAATGGAGTACTATGCAGGTGTAAGAAAGAAAGAACCCTTATCCTTTGAGAAGACATGGAGGGACCTGGAGAGTATTATCCTAAGTGAAACAAGCCAAACAGAGAAAGACAAGTATCATATGATCTCACTTATCTGTGGAATATAATGAACATAACAGTCTGAGGAATGAAGTAGTCCCAGAGACGTGGAAGTGGGGTACAGACTGACAATCCCCAGAAGAGGGGGAGGTGGGGGAGAGATAAACCACAGAACTTATATGCATGTATGCATGAACAGTGGACATGGACAACAAAGCTGGGGACAGGGCAGTGAGGGAGGGGGTACGGGGTATTAGTGGGGGGAAAAGAAACATCTAACAAAAATAAGTGAATTAAAAAAAAGAAAAAGAAAAATTTAAAAACAAAACAAAACACTTGGTTCCTTGATTTAGTCCCATTGGGGGTGCAGTTTTTAGGAGAGAGACAGTTTTGAGGCATTGGCTTCCCTTAAGTGAGGAGGGATGTGAATACCTAGCAGTGGATGGGCAGCTGCGGGCTTTTCTCACTTGGCCTCAGATCCTGTTGTTTTCATTAAAGTGAACTTTTCTGGGGTTTGGACCTGTAGCAGTCTAGCTCGGCCTGGATTTCAAAATCTGGAGCCGGAGTTCTTTATTTCTGGGCATTCACTTTTGCCTTTTCCGAGGCCTCATGGGTATCCTTAAGTCTTGGGAGGCTGGTAAAAAAGAAGCATTTTTTCTTCTGGGTTTTTCATTTCTTGTGCAGAAATAAGTGATACCAAGCAGCTAGATAGTGACAATAGTCTAATGCCATCCCAGAATTCTTCCACTTAGTGTGTTATCTGCTTCAACTGAGTCTCATTTCTTGGATTGACACACTAACAGCTAAAACTTTGAGGCATCAGTGTTGTTTTCTTGATTGGGAAATACCTTGCATGTCATTTTGATTTGTATTCCTAGCACGGCATCCTGTGAGAGATAGTGAGAGCCCAGCCCTTGTTTACAGATGAGGATTCTGGAAGAGAGCCAGCCAGGTCCTTTGTGAATCCCGAAGGCTGCTTACCGTGGAGGACTTTTGCATGGCTTCTGGGGTACAAAAGGCTTTATAAGCACTACCTGTACACTTTTGTTAAAAACAAAACAAAACAAAACAAAGATAAAAGAAGAAAATTTTAGTCAATGCTTTACCCTGGAGAAGGCAGAAGACAGTTCTGCCCTCACTTATGTCTGAAACAGCTGCGGCTCTGGCAGCTGGTGCTTTGCTGAAACGGAAGCTGCCTGTTCCTTTGGCTCCCACGGTGCTTTCCTTCTGTGACCAGGGCAGTATGCAGCTCTCTGTTGGGCTCTGTTCTAAATTCAGCAAGTGATGAATGACTGGTTTCCCTGAATTCTTTGGTTTCCACAGTAGAGTTCCTCTTCCACACTTCATTTTTCATTTCTTATATCTCTGAAAGACATTTTAGACACTTAGATAGAGAAGTCTTCCCAGGTTGATTCCTGTGGATTCCTGTGAGGAACATGTATGTGTCTTAGTATTATGAATGCTTTGTTTTATCACCTGTTGTTTTTTTACTTTTGAAAGCTTTTTAAAAAATATGTTTTTTTTTAAACTTTTTTTTTCTTAATTTTTGTTACAGATGATTCTCCCCCCCCCACTGATTCCCCCCTCCCTCTCCCCTCCCTGCCCCTTCCCCAGATTGTTGTCCATGTCCACTGTTCATGCATACATGCGTATAAGTTCTGTGGTTCATCCCTCCCCCACCTCCCCACTCCTTAGGGGATTGTCAGTCTGTTTTTATTGATTTTTTTTAGAGAAAGCATAAGGGAGAGAGAGGTAGAAACATCAATGTAAGAGAGAAACATGGATCAGCTGCCTCTTGCATGCCCCCTACTGGGGATTGAGCCTGCAACCTGGGCATGTGCCTTGATTGGGAATCAAACCAGGACCTCTCAGTCCATGAGATGATGCTCAATCCACTGAGCCACACTAGCTGGGCAAGTTTTCCCACCTCTTTTGTTTGTTTTTTTCTTTGTTTGTTAATTCTCACCTAAGGATATTTTTTCTTGAATTCCTTAGAGTGGAAGCGAGGGGCAGGGTAGAGAGAGAGAAACATCGATATGAGGGAGAGACATTGATTGGTTGCCTCTCTCATGACCCCGACCAGGGCCAGGGATAGAACCTGCAACCCATGTATGTGCCTTCAACTGGAAATTGAACCCATGACTCTTTGGTCCAACTGTTGAGCCAAACCAGCCAGGGTTTCCCACCTCTTATTTGTAGATTCTTGCTGGTCCTATAGTCCCATGCTGTTTACTTCCAACTGAAGCTTATGAGCTTACCCAGCACACTTTCTCTTCATAGTTTGACTCGGGTTAGTAATTGTTTCTTCTTGTGGTTTTTCTTCCCAAAGATCCCAACACACTACTTGCTTCTCTCAGCTCCCCACACCTGCCATGCTACCTTAGCTTATTTATGGACTCATTTTAAGATAGATTGGATTGGTCATACCAGTTTAATTAAATCAGAAAGTTACAATGGTGCATTTAATGGTCTAGGAGTGACCTTTATGAGTCAGCAGGTTGGGAAAGTTGGTGAATTGAATACCACTTGTTGTTGAGACTTGTTTAGAGGGAAACTAGACAGCCTGGCTTCTTTGTTCAACTCTACTGATCATAATGAGATGTCATTGCATTTCTGAAATTCTCTGTTCAACCAAAGGTTGTGACAGTGGCATTCTGGAAACCTGTTGGACCCTTAACCTCCACCTGGTGCTCAGGTTGCTATCTTCTTGGGCAGAGCTGCACATATCTACCCGCTCTCCTTCTTCCTCAACTTGGGCAGAAGGCATAAGATTGGCTGGAATTTCCAACACATGATGATGTTTTCAGGTAAAACAGTATAAATGTAAAGAAAATGAGTGTTATTTAGCAGGCAGCATTAGTATGATTAAAGTATTAATAAGGTTCATAAAAAGAAAAATTCAAGTGTCTGGTTCTTTTGTATCACCTGCAGTGCTGAGGAGGCAGATGTACATGGTAAACTGACTTAATATTGATTTTGCAAACTCTATTACCAAATGTGAACATTCTCCCCTTAATTATTTGCATCTTTATTCATCTCTACCACCCAAGAGGCCTGGTGGTATATATTTAAAGTGCTTAATTGTTCTCTAGTAGATTGTTCATAACCCTTAATCTTAAAGAAGGGCTCCAGATTTAAAATTAGAAGTAGAATAGATCTTTAATGAGAAAGAACATGGGCCATCATCAATACTGCCCCCGCCCCCAGCTGCAGTATCCTCTCTTGTAAAATAATGAAATTGAGCTGATTAGTTGAGGTCCCTCCTAGCTCTAACTTTCTATGGAGCAAAAGAAATAAAATACATTCATAACAAAAATAAACCCCAAACTGGAAAATAACAGTCATGATAGTTCTGCTGAATTATATTTGATTCACACTGGCTCTCAGATGCTCCCCCTCTTCATTATAAACCTAAGATGTGTGGAGAAACCACTGAGAAGATAAAGGACAATAAGGAACTATATGGAGATAAAGAAAGGAGAGAATATTCAGCATGTGTAGGTGGTGCAGTAAAGGGTGGTAAGTGTCAGATTTGATAAATGAGACCCAAGGTAGAGCATTTCTGCAGAGCAGAGGGAGGAAATGGTGGCACAAAATGGGGGCTGTACAAGAGGCAAAGTGAGTAGCTTCCCTTTAACGCCACACAGTAGTTCTTGGGAGCCTCAGAGTCATACTGAACCACACCAACTGGCACTGTTCAGCAAAGCAGTTGCTGTCTAGTACTCATTTGCATCTGCCCTTAAATGTACAGCCTGCCATAGTGACTTCCTTTCACTCTGACAAACATTTATTGAGCATTCTCTTTTTACCCCCTTTAATGATTGTAGAGAGAGAGGAAGGGAAAGAGAGAGAGCTAGAAACATTGACAAGAGAGAACATCAATTAGCTGCCTCCTTCATGCGCCACACTGGGGGTCAGGCCTGCAACCTGGGCATGTGCCCTGACTGGGAACTGAACCAGCAACCGCTTGGTGCATGGGTCGACAAAATCACTGAACCACACCAGCTGGGCTTGAGCATTCTTTTTTTATAAGCCACAATTCTAGGTTGTGGAGGATACAGAAACCCACCTCCTTCAAGGAGTTCACAGTCTAACTTGGGGAAAAAAGGTGTACAAAGTGCTTTCTCTGAAGAGAGGGGAGTGAATTTCACAAAAGAGGTATGGAATAAATGTGAAGGAGAGGAGGGACCAGGGCCATCTTCACAAAGGGCTAACCTTTGAACTGGGCTTTGGAAGAAATGGATTTCAGGAAGCAGCAGGTTGAAAAGGCAGGGAAGCATTGCCCAATAAGACTTTTTCAGGAAAAGGTAGCAGTCTGGTTGAAATGTAAGACACACTGGGTAATGCAGAAAGAGGGTGAGGTTGGAAAGGAAAATTACATGTAAAGTGGCATGAACCTTTAGGTTGCATTGGAATCACCTCTTGGGCTGGTTAAAGCAGAGGGTACAGAGTGGCCTCAAGAATTTGCATTTCTAACATGTTCTCTGCTGCTGCTGGTTTGAGGACCAAACTTTGAGGATCACTGCTGGAGTCTATAATACGAAAAAGCTCCAATGCTGTGCCAGTTTGGATTGTACTTAGGAGCAGCAGGGAAACGTTAGAGGTTTTTAAGGAGGACAGTGCCAAGATCCTCCTTATGTATTAGGAAAGTGATGGCAGAAAGAGAAAGATGAATTGGACATAACTCAGTCACCTAGATAAACATAAAATATGTTCATTATCTTCTGTACTAAAAGACTGAGAAGTACACAGGGTTGTTTAAAGATATCTCCTGTAAACATTATTTTCTGCTGGGAGAACTCATTCTTCAAGGCCATGAACTACCTGAGGTTTCACTTTCATATTGCTTACAATGTTTGCCTAATGAAATAAGGAAAAATATAGCACATGTTGTCTCTTTCTGACCCCCCAAGTTTTCTTCTTTGAGATAACATCTCTTTAGAGACTTAAATATTGATCAATGACATAACTGGCTTTAGGGTAATATAGATATGTATCAGTATTTCACTAGGACAGACTAATAGCAAACATTGACTTTGTTCTGTTTTTTATTGTAACTTCTTGAGTCACTCTTTAGTAAATTGTACTGAAGCTCTTGGATTAATTGTGAAATTGTTAGGAAAGGTGGGAAAATATACAAACAGATATAGTGGACAAACTTTTATTCTTATATACATGTAATCTTGCTCATGGTGAATAGGAATTTATACTAGATATATGTTAAAGACCATGGATTCAGTCTTTAGTATAGAACAAATTACGAGCATGGTATGGGTAAGGAACAAAAGAGCTTAGAAAGATAAACATTAAAATGTTGGTGCTTAATCTTTATACCCGTTAACATAGATCATCAGGGTTATCAAACTATAGTACCTGAGCCAAATCTGGGTTCTGCCTATGTTCATATATCCTGAGGGCTCAGAATGGCTTTTACAGATGAATGTTTATAATCTATTTGATGATCGGGAACACTAATTTTGAAACCCAAATAAGTACCCCCTAAAGAATTCCTTTCTTTTTAGTAGTAGACCTGTATTATAACAAATTGTGCTCATTATTATTGTTTTCTTGGTATTTGTCAATCAAATTTTGTGAAAATCTTGTTTTATTTCTTTTGTATAAGTACCTGCATGATAGCCTTGATATTTTCCAATTGGTCTACAAAGCGTAAAATATTTAATATGTTACCTTTTACAGAAAAAGCTGTCAACTCCTGATGTAGATCAGGTTATATTGTTATTTCTCTATGTGTTCTTGCTAGGGAAACACTGAACTATTTTGTGGTTCATATACTATAGAGTATATACTATGCATTTGACATATTAGTACCTAGCCTGTTTCTTAAGTTTTTAATGACTATGTAGTGCGTGGGTCATGCTTAGATCACAGACTTAGAGAGCTTCAATTATTTCTTATTTATATTTCTTTTTATTTCATATTACTAGCTGGAGAGTTATTTCAGCAATAAAAGAGTATTATTATTCTAAAATGTGCTATGCAAGCTAGTGCATTGTTTTTATCATTGCATTTGGACATTTTGCAAAAAAAACTTCAAATAGGAGAAAATTATATTCCTTTAAGGTTCTTTCTGAATAAAACAACTTGACTCTGGAAGCATAAGTGGATATGGTTTATGAGCCCTGAGAGGCAGCAGTGGATTTGAGGACACATTGTCATTTGTCCTTATAACCATGAGATCTTCCTTTTTGGTCCCTGCAGGCCTCAGGGGAGCAATGGCATTTGCACTGGCCATCCGAGACACGGCATCCTATGCTCGCCAGATGATGTTCACGACTACTCTCCTCATTGTCTTCTTCACTGTCTGGATCGTTGGTGGAGGCACAACGCCCATGTTGTCATGGCTTAATATAAGGTCAGTTTGAAACCGAGGCGAGTTTTGTCTATACCACTGTGCCCATGCAGGGTGTGCTATAGCTTAGCATATGGAAGGTTTTTACAGTTTTTTATTCTGTTTTGGGGAGAGATTAAAACTAAAAAAACAATAAAAATTCAGAGTATTGAATTTTCCAGGAGAAAAATAATGTTGTCATTAAAATTTTTGTTGGTACAAAAACAAGGAGTTAGAAACACCTAGACCTTGATAGCGCAGTAACATTAGGGCAAGAATCCAAAAAATCTTAAAGCTGTAGGAGAGAGAATAGATATCCCTGTTGGCAACATCTGGTGTTTCACAATTAGAATTTTGTTTTAGAAGGAAACCGTTGTGCCTCTTTTTGCTTGAGTGCACAAAAGAGGTGGCATTTCTTACATAACCCTCATTTGTTGCAGCCTTGTGGATGTCCCTTGCCTGTGGTTTTGCAGCTGTGCCAGAATGAAGGGGCACTGACCTGAGTTTGATTTTTTTGTTGTTAATCCTCAACTGAGGATATTTTTTTCATTGATTTTTAGAGAGTAGAAGGTGGGAGGGGGGAGGGAGGGAGAGAGAGAGAGAGAGAGTTAGAGAGAGAGAGAGAGAGAGAGAGAAACATTGATGTGAGAGAGACACATGGATTGGTTGCCTCCTGCATGTGCCCTGACCTACCCCGACCGGGGCCCTGGATCGAACCTGCAACCCAGGTACATGCTCTTGACTGGGAATTGGATCCACAGTCCTTCAGTATGTGGGCTGACATTCTATCCACTGAGCAACATGGGCTAGGACTGAATTTGAGCTTTTAAAGAGCATTTACATTCCCAACTCAGCTTGTGAGCTCCAATACCCTATGGTAAAGAAAACTTTAGAACAGGGGTCAAGAGACCCGCAGCCCAACTCCAGCTCTGGTTTAATGTAAGCCCCTCATGTCTTGGGGCCTCAGTGTCTCTCAATAGTAAATAGAAGTACATTGTCAAATTTTCTCCAGGTAACCTTCAACTCTAAGTGAGCACTCTGCATCATTCAAGGTGCTATTGCCACCTGCCTCAGTTTTGGGTCTGCAGAGGGTGAAAGTGGTCAGAATGAGAAGACACTTGGGTAGTACAGAGGTATGAATTCTCTGAAAAGCTTCAAGGTGGCTATGTGCTTTTCATTCTCTGCTGGCTTTTGGTTTGTATTTCCTTCTCTAGAATGGGACTGACAGCTGCCAAGATACCTAACTTAGAGAAGAGAAAATGAACAAGGATCTTGTAGTCATCCTTGGAGTCAGGGAGAAAACTGGAATTTGAGAGAATAGTCTCCCCATTGGGGACTTTTATATTGATGGCAGGCAGGGGTTCCTGGGTTTGGCCACTGCCAGCTCTATCATTTCTGGGCTGGCATGTCTCAGCCTCGGGGGGGGGGGGAGGCGGTGCAGGAGAGGGTCTGCAGAATCTATGTGGGACTTATCAGTGATAGTCATATAACATCTAACTCTTGTGCTGCAGGTGGTGTTTAAGATGCCACAAGTATATAAAGATAATTCTCATAACATTCCTATAAGGGAGCTACCACTATTATCTCCATTTTAGAGTTGGGGACACTGAAACACAGAGCTATAATTTGCCCAAGGTCACAAAGCTTTAAGTGGATGAGTTGAGATATGAATCTAGGCAGTCTTGCCACATAGTCTACACTCTTAACTACTACTGTACTGTACTGCCTGTAAGAAGGCTTGCTGTATTAGGGTCATTTTTTATGTTGTAAAATTTGGGGTGATTAGAATGTCAATTTCTTGTCATGAATTTCAAAAGTTATATTAAGGAAAACAATTCATCTTTGGTAATATAAACCTGAAGAAAATTTACAGAGTTTTGGTTTGAAGCTTGAGACATAGATGGTACTATCTTTGTTCTGTGTAGCAGAATAAGAGCAAGAAAGGAGGTTTACCCTGCACACAGTTGAGAATCTTTGCATTCGGTGACCTCAGATTACTTTTTCTTCCTATTTGGTCACCCAATAGATACCCTGAATACTCAGAATCTGAATCATGTTTGTTTTTAATGCTATTTTATAAGTCCTTTTTTTGCTCCCCTCCCAACATATACAGAATCAAATAATTTTCCACTGAGAGTAGAGATTTGACTTGTGACATTTTGCACTTCTCATAACCTTTTATGAGAAATGGGACATTAAAACAGTCCTACCTAGAGCTGAGAGCGTGGGAAGCTTTCACTGAGGCATACAAGCTGTACATATATCAATATAATGTAATAATTGTATTGCACTTAGAACATAGCAGCTAGCACATAGCAAGGGGTCAGAAATGACTATGTGCATGACTGTGTGTATGAGAGATTCAGTTTCCCTACCTCCTTGCCAGCATTTGGTGTTATCACAATTTTTTTCAATTCAGCTTTTCTAATAGGTGTGTAGGATACCTTCTTGTGGTCTTAATTTGTATTTTCCTTATGGATGATAATGTTGAACATCTCTTCGTGTGTTTATTTGCCATTCATACATCTTTTATGGTAAAATATCTGTTTAAGTCTTTTATCCATTTTCTAATTGGATTGTTTTTTGAGGGTTCTTTCTTTATTCTAGATACTAGTCTTTTGTCAGATGTATGGTTTGCAAATATTTTCTCCTAGTTTGCAGTTTGTCTTTTCATCCTTTTAAAAGTGTCTGTCATAGCCCTGGCCGGTTTGGCTCAGCGGTTAGAGTGTCGGCCTGCGGTCCAGAGAGACCCGGGTTCGGTTCCCGCTAAGGGCACGTACCTCGGTTGCAGTTTGTCCCCGGCCCTGGTCAGTTGTGCGGGTGGCAGCCACTTGATGTGTCCCTTTCACATCGATGTTTCTCTATCTCTCTCTCTCTCTGTTTCTCTCTCTCCCTCCCACTCTACCTGAACAAAAAATGGAAAAATGTCCTCGGGTGAGGGGAAAAAAAAAAAAAGTGTCTGTCATAGAACAGAAGTTAATTTTGATGAAGTCAGTTCATTATTTTTTTCTTTTATGGATTGTGCTTTTGATGCCATGTCTAAGGACTTTTCATCAAGCCCTAGGCGTCCAAGATTTCTTTCTGTGTTATCTTCTAAAAGTGTTTTAGTTGTACGCTTTACATTTACATCTATGATTCATTTTGACTTAATTTTTATATAAAAAGTGAGGTTTAGGTTGACGTTTTATTTTATTTGACCATGGCTATCCAGTTGTCAGCACATATTGTTAAAAACAAACAAACAAAACAAAAAACTGCCCTGGCCGGTTTGGCTCAGCAGTTAGAGCGTCGGCCTGTGGACCAGAGTGTCGTGGGTTTAGTTCCCAACAAGGGCACGTACCTCAGTTGCAGTTTGTCCCCGCCCCAGTTGGGGTCGTGTGGGTGCCAACCAGTTGATGTGTCTCTCTCACATCAATGTCTCTCTCTCTCTCACCCCCTCTCTCCCTCCCGCTCTATCTGAAAATAAATGCAAAAACAAAACAAAAACAAAAAACTATCCTTACTCCATTGAGTTACTATTGCTCCTTTGCCAAAAATCAGTTGGCGGTTATGCATGTGGTCTGTTTCTGTTTTGCTCCACTGATTCACGTGTCCATCCCTCCACCTGTACCACACTGTCCTGATAACTATAGTTATATAATAAGCCTTAGCATCAGGTAGAACAAGTCCTTCTACTTTATTCTATTTTAAAACTGCCATAGCTATTCTAGTTCCTTTCCATATATATTTGAGAATAAGCTTGCCTATATCTTTTTAAAAATCTTGCTGGGATTTCATAGGAATTGTGTTAAATCTGTATATATATCAATTTGGGAAGAATTGACATCTTGACTCTGTTGAGTCTTCAGATCTATGAACATGGCATTTTTCTGTATTTGTTTAGATCTTTTATTTCTTCAATCAGTATTTAATAGTTTTCAGTATATAATGCCTGTACATGTTTTGTTAGATTTACATGTAGGTATTTCTTCTTCTTTTTTTGAGCAATTGTAACGTTATTCTATCTTTAATTTCAGTTTCCTTGTGTTCATTACTAAGATATAGAAATACAGTTGGTTTTTGTATGTTGATCTGATATCCTGTGACCTTGCCAAACTCAGTTATTAGTTCTAGAAGGGTTTTATTTTGTTTTGATAGCATCTTTGAGATTTTTATGTCACTTGCAAATAGAGACAGTTTTATTTTCAACCAGTGTGCCTTTTATTTTCTTTTGCTGATTTATTGCTCTGGCTAGGACTTCTATGTTAAGTAATAGTGACGTGAGTGGACATCCTTGCCTTGTTCCTGATCTTAAGGGGAAAGCACTCTGTCTTTCACCAATAAGTATGATGTTATCTGTAGGGTTTTTGTAGATGTTTGTCATCAAGTTGAGGAAGTTTCTATCTCTTGCTAGTTTTCTGAAAAGATGTTTTAATCACAAACAGATGTTAAATTTTATCCAATGCTTTTTCTGTATAAATTGATATGATCATATTGTTTTTCTTATTTAGCCTATTAAGATGGTAGGTTACATTGATCAATTTTCAAATATCAAACCAGCCTCACTTCTGTAAAATAAACCCCACTTGGTTGTGGGGTATAAGTTTTATAAATATTGCTGGATTCTATTAGCTAATATTTTGTTAAGGATTTTTGTGTCTGTGTTCATGAGGGATATTGTATATATAACCAGTGATTGCGTAAGTGTAGAAACTGACATTTATAGAGATTACATCAAAAGAAATTCCCTCCAAAATAAGGTAATGAAACTGATTGGTATTTCTGACTTGTGGCTTTGTTGTGTTACTTAATGTCCACAAATCATTTATATAAACCAGATTCTTACTCTAAATTGATTCAGAAATCCCCTGAAATTCAGCATGGTGTTTTGACCTCTGTGACCTCAGTAAGATCAATACCTCCTTGTTTCTTACTTCTCCAGGCTGCTGACTGAGGCCTTGCTCAGAAGTCAGCAGCATAGGGTAGGACTCAGAGTTCCACCATAAATAATTAGAAGTTAGCTGTAATTTTTAGCCATGGTTAAT